GTATCATCACCATGCTGGTCAGGCTGATCTCGAACTCCTGATCTCAAGTGATCCTCCCGCGTCAGCCTCCCAAAGTGCTTGGGTTATAGATGTGAACCACCATGTCTGGTCAATAAGGACGTTATTTTAAAAAGAGTGGGCTCTGGGGTCAGCCCCCTTAGGTTTGTAATTCAGGTTCTGCCACTTATTGGCAGGGGCCTTGGTTAAGTTACTGTGTCAATAACAGTAATTACCTTAACATGCTGTTAAGAGGTAGAAGTAAATTGATACATGTCAGCACTTAAACCAGGGCATTGCAAAAAAAAAAAAAAAGTATTTTGTGAACATGAGCTACTTTTATTCTTTGAAGTTTTATTCTTTGAAGGTGGCAAATAATGTTTTTTTCCAACACTATTATGTGCCTTCAGTGTATATTCTCAGTGCTCTAAAGATAAGGCTCATGGTCTAACTCCAAGTGATTTTCCTAAAACCAATTTGGCCAGAAATACAGTTAACAAGAAAATGTTTGAAAATAAACATCTTCGATAACTGTCCAGAATTGGCAACCACGATGCATTATGGGATATTTTTACAAACCCTTAAGCACTTTAAGCAGTTTGGTCTATATTCTGATTTTTTTCTTCTATACTATTTTATTTGGAATTCGTGTTTAGATCATTTCTGCTTTGCAGACAGTGATTAAAATTGAAGATAATTTTATAATATAAAAGTCCAACTAGATGAGTCATACAGAGCATCTAAAATAATGTATAGAACAGTCTCAATTTCAAAAATGCACCTACAATGTGTAAAACACCATATGAGTACTGAGGGCATGAGAATTAGGATTACACACTGATTAGGGCAGTGTCCCAGGTGTGAAAACTGGTTAATTTATGCTCTAAAATATACTTTGAAAAAGCTTTGTTTATAGATTAAGACCACCCATTGCAGCATGGAGTTTTTATGCATTAAAATTTTTTTCCAACCAATTCTGTTTCTTCAGTGCTTGCTCTATGCCCTGTACACTGTTACAGGCTGACAAAACAACAAAAATAAAATAGATCAGACACTGCTCCCCCTGTGGATGGGTGCATTCTGGTGGGGAAAAGCTGAGAGGAGGACACCAACCCTCACCCAGAATCATCCTATCAGACCACATTCACTCCAGCAAAAGAACGCAGGGAGGCTTCTTCATTTAGAAGCAGGGAAGCCTTTCATTGAAAAATCTTTCTTGATCCTAGTAAGTGCCACCATCTCTGTCTTTTAAAATTGTTTCCATTTTGACTGTGACCTTTGTATAATGAGGTGATCAAGTTGAGCTCTTCCAAGGTGAGGCCAAACCGTTGCTGTCCCCCTGCCCCTCTGAGTAGCTCTGACTCCCTCCTAACTGAGGCCTCATATTCCTATTTGATGTTTGCACTCCAGCTAAACATTGAGCAAGCGTCTTCATTAAACTGTCCACAGTGATTCCTAGTGGCCTTCCCCCCAGAGGTTACATATAATTCAGAACTCATCAGCACGCTGGGGACAGGCGGCCAAAATTGCTCCTTCTGGGATCTGCTACCTTGCATTTGCCCACTTGGGGTTTCATTTGCTACCCTGGGATCTAATTACTCTGCCCGCTGTGCCCTTCTGAGGTTCCTGAGTCCCCAGCCTTCTCCTGAACAGCTAAGGAGCCCAGACCATGGCTTCTGTTGGTGTCAACAGTGGGGCCACTCTTTGCAAAACTGTAGCCCCCCTGAGGTGAGGCTCCCTCTTGGAGGGAAACCTCCTTCATGCAGGGGACCTAAGGTGGCAAACCAGGAAGCAGTCTGTCCTTGATGGTCTGCAGTAATAAGGCGAGAAGGGTCACAGCAAGAGACAGAGCCAAACTTGTCACTCCTGGCTCCGGAGTGTGGCGAGCAGAATGCACCCTCTTGTACTCTTCCTCTGAGCCTCCCTACTGGCTGATTTCTGGATTTGGCAGGATGAGCTTTGGCTGAGTCATGGAGAAGAGGACATCCTGAGTCACCAAGACCTAACTGGACAAATTGATTCATCACAAAATGTGGACCATTGGGACCTGAGTGTTGAAGAAAAAATAGATGGTGGAGGATGAGAGATAATTCTCAGGTCTCCTTTACTTGGAGAGGAGAGGGGCCCCAGCCACATACCAGCTGCGAGCGGGGAAGACAGGTTGAGATGGGTGTGTCTGACCAGAGCCTGTGGAGGGAGGTAAGTATGAGGCCAGTGGCTCCTGAGATCCTTGCTAGGAAATCCATCAGGCCACGTGTTGCCAGCCTGACCTCACAGAGGTCAGCTGGTGCCTAGCAAATCATTCCTACCCCCACCTCAGCCCCTGTTTAGCCTCCATGCTCACCCTCACCTTCACCTTTCCTCACCAGCCCTAATGCTCAGGCAGCCCCTGCTTCTTACTAACTGAATCAGCATCAGGCCCACCTCTATGGTAAGCACTCTACCTGGATGACCTGATTTAATCACTATAGCCACCCCATCAGGAAATGGTAACTACTAAGATTACTTTCATTCTACTGATGAAGAAAATGAAGCTCAGAGAAGTGAAATCATTTTCTCAAAGCCACACAGCAAGTAGCTGCCCAAGCCAGAGCTTGACAGAGGGGTGTGACTGTGGCGATCATGCCCTGGCTGACATGTCTGGGGACAGCCATCGCCAGCCTCCTCAATCCATGAGGGTCTTAGCCGTACTCTTATTTTCCTGGACCACCTATAACTTCTAAGGTGCATGGGTGTTTGCACTGGTGAGGCGAAGTGTCCGCTTCTTCATTAAAAGTACCCCAATGTAACAGAAATAGTGAAGTCATCTTAGGACACTGGGCATCCCTCTTTTTCTGACCACTTTGATGTACTTGGGTTGATGGAAACATACTGCCTCCAAGAAATTCCAGCTGTGTGACTAATAATGAAGGCAATAATAGCAGCTAACGTTCATTAGGCACCTGTTATGCTCGGCTCTGTGCTGAGTGAAGCAGGGAATATTGTTCTCTTCGCTTTAGAGGAGAAAAGAGGCACAGAGAGGTTGTGCCTTGCCCAAGGTCACACAGCTTGGGCAGTAACAGAGCCAAACCTTGGCCTCACATCCTGCTGAGCCCTTTAATCCCTGTGCTTCATGGTCTGGTAACGTCCTGAGTTGTGCTGGCCTCAGCCCCGCAGTAAGTCAGAGCATCTGATCAGGCATCATGCGTTGAAAACCTACTACAAGACAGGCAAAGGAAGGGAAGAGAAGTCTCGGGCAGTGGTCTGCAGTGGAAGGTGGGTGGGGAGTCCCAGGCCAGGAAGTACAGTCCCAGGGTGATGGGGTATTTGAGTAAGGCAACAAAGGAACAAACGGTGTCAGGGAAAGGGGAAGTAATTTGGAGCAGGGACCTGATTGAAGAGGACAGGGTACCAAGAGCAAGATCTAGCTTCACAATTTTGTATTAATTCTGTTTAGGGCCTGTGGGGTTATTTGTTGGAGTGCCCCATAGGGACTTATTTGATGATGGGAGGTATCTGTCAAAGAGCTGGGAAGGATAACTTTGAACTGCACTTAACTACAAAGGCTGTGTGTGTGTGTGTGTGTGTGTGTGTAAGGAAAAGATATGGAGAATGCCAAATAACTATCTTTTTGTCATTTTTAACAATTGCAATGAGTTTTTGGGTAACTATTTTGGTCTGTTTTGTCATTCCATATACATGCAGGGCTGAGATATTATAATTCTGTAGGCTTAAAGCGTTCTTTATATTTCTGTTCAATTTACAGAGACAAGGTTTTGTCTTACATGTGCCCTCCAGCTTACTATGGCTTAGCTCATTCCCTTCCAATGAACCGTACTATTTTTAATTCATGGTAGCACTTTGCTACTCATTCAGCAATTTCATTTCAACATTCTCCAATAAATGTGTGCCTCTGCTTGTGAGTTAGTACTACTCCTACAACTGTGATCCATTCCTATAACACAAGGAAGTTCAGGCACTTCTAACTTTTTGAACTTATAACTTCCTACCATCCCCATTTGGATGCTTTTACAACAGACAGTGTGTTTTAGCTTTATTATTTGTGCATGAGACTCATTTTTGGCTTAGAAGTTCTACCTAGCTCAATGTCTGACCGCAGAGGCACTTATGCTCCAATTTCCTCCCACACAGACCTTGATAAAAATTATTTATATTTAAACTCTTAGGATTTTTTTCCTTTCTTCTTAGTGTATTGATTTGGACTTAGGGGGTCTCAAGGAAAAATGGAATTCCCTGGGATCTTAAGCTCCCTCTAGCCAGTTTGTGGTAAAGCGGTTCAGGGCAGTGAGAGAACCCCACCGCTGGTTTTGGGGAACAATTTCAGCTTTACGTCCATTTCTATATCTCAATGAAAGGTGACAATATAATCAAGGAGAATCTCATCTTTACATTCAAAAGGAAATCCTATACTGCTGAAGTTATTTAAAAGGTTTTGGCTAATGGTCAGAAGCACTTGGGTTTATTCCCAGCTCACCAGATGTATGACTGTGAGCAAGCCTTTTGGGGCCTCAGTTTCCTCATTTGTAAATGGGGATATTCATAACATCCACTTGATAAAACTAAGAAGAATTGGATAAGATCATGCATGCACAAAGACTGATGCATAGTAAGTGCTTAATAAATGTTAGCTCTATTACTTCTAGGGCACTGACCCGGAGAACGCTTGGCTCCAATACTTCTGCTATTAATTGTAAGATTAATATATCAAGGTAGAGAGGAACTAGTATAGGCATAAGCAGCAGCTAAAACTGTGACCTTTTTTTTTGGTGGTTGCTGTTATAAGGAATGATTGATTTTTATCACTAGGAACCCAAACTGTCTCTTCAGTAACATTTCTAATTCATTTGCTAAGACATTCTTTGACAACCAGACTTTTCTGCCTATGCTATTGAATGGTCCTCAAAACAGAACAGAAAGAAACATCAGACTGAGTCTATCTTGTGGTAAATGTGTAACATTACTATAATGTGACATCAACCAATGCCATTGTCAATCAAACTCACCACACTGAATCCTTGGTGAGTTTGGAATTCACGTTCCCATCTTCTTCCAGGAAGATGTCCATTTGCAAATTGGCATCATTATCATGGGCTGAGAAATAATTGGTAACAATTCTTGCTGGTATTCCAAGGCATCGTAAAACTACAGGAAAGGACAGACCACAGCCAAACACATCACCAGAATTTAATAAACACACAGTGAAAAAAAGCGTTCTTGTAGGGGACTTCCTTCCTGACCAATATGAAAAGCCCTTTGGACATGTTATCCTCAAATGTGGCATGCTGGAGAAGGGTGGTCATCCAACCCCATGGGGGCAGTAGAGAGCAATTTTGCTGTTGGATCCTTCAGAATTGCAGCTGGTGTCAAATGAAGCCAAGTAGAGTAGAATCCCAACCGGGTTCTAATTGTTTCGTTTCTAAGCTATGATCATCAACATAGTATTATTTTAGTCCCATGAATGGGACAATGTTCCTGAAAATACAATTTCAAAAACCCACTAATAGGAAGTTAGGAATTTACAGAGCAGGTCCTTGGTGGAATTTGCTCTCTTGGCCAGAATTTACTTTTGTAACACGCATTGGAGGGTGACACCACAGATTCATTTTAATTGTTAGATAATAAATTACCCGGATACTTTTCTTGCCATATGTACCTATTGATTAAACTTAATCCAAATGCCCTCCCTGGCTCCCAGGATGCCAGACATCAGGGCTCATTGAAAATAATTCAGCTGACAATTTTAAGATTAATGATTTGGCTTGCCTTTTAATTTTCTCCTTCAGAATAGTTTAGCATTTTTAACCAAAGACTACCCACCTCCTTCAACAGAACAACCTTGGAAGTCCAAACTTGGAGTCTGGTAGAGATTCAAGGGTTCCCCTCCTTAAAGGGGATCTTAATGCCCCAAACAATATTGGCAGCTGCCACAGGCCTCCTGTTCCCATCTTCCTCTCTTGATTTTCAGCCCTATTCACCCAGGGTCTTACCAATAAAACGATTGCAACTCTCACTCTGTTTCTGGCTGAACACTAATTCACATTACCCCAGACACGACTTGGTCAAGAGTCTGCCTTACTCAATAATTTCAAGAAAGTGAGGCTTGACTTTAGGGCACCAGTTTCTCCTTCCCCCAGTTTCCATCTTCAGGTTTACTCTCATTGTGACTTCCCCACAGTGTGTTTCTGCCTTTTCTTAATTTACCACACAAAGCCTGCTTTTTATGCCAAAGACATGAATGGATGTAAGGTGTTCACTATTTTATCTGGTTGTGAGCCTGAAGGAATTACACTGGCATAGTGAAACTGTAGGCATGCGGAGGGCTTGGGTCCTTTCTGTCTTCCTAAAATCATTTCACAAGAGTGGTTGCTTCTGTTGGGCATCTTTTACCTTGTCTTGACTTGGGAGCCTCGAGGGAGGGGATGACCTCCAACCTTTAACCTACCATGAAGTTCAGGCTTTTATCTGGAACTTCAGAGACCAATGCTTCTAGGGGACTATACTTTTGATTTTTATTGTTCCGAAGAAATACATATTCCTTCTTCCCTGGGTTATATTTAAATGGCTAAGAAAATAATGTTATCCTGTTTGATACTATGGGAAAACAAAACAAAACTCACGACTATTTTTTTAACTTCGATCACCAAGTGTTAGACTGTTGAGACTTTGAGCTAAAACAAGCAGGTTTTGTAATCATTTTTTAAAATGACCTCCCTCCAGCCTCTAGCCCCTCCCTTTGTTTTTGATTTAAAAAATGTTAACTGGGTAAAACATTATTAATGAGCAGGCAGAAGGGACACCCCAACTTGAGCTTAATGTTTCTCCAAGGCTGTAGAAATGGCTTGTGGATGAAAATCATTACCAATGATGAAGACACACTGAAATAAATGTATTTTTAAAAATATTCACTGAATTAATTGTAATAGTGTCTGGGTCTAGAGAGGCAAATGCCACTTTGAAAAATGATGCATGACGCTAAAGAGAATAATTCTGTTCTCATATACTTTCCTCTACAGATTGGATGTTGGGTGGATTAAAAACCAGTAGGGAAACTGGAGAGGGAAAGATTGTTCATTATGTTCTGATCTCTAATTTGCTCAGGGGCATTGAGACGTGTAAAAATGAATATGAGACCACCTGCTATAATACCTTCCATAACTGGGATTAAAATTAAGCAGATATATTTATAAAATTCTCAATAATAAACGAATATGCATATTTATACAACTTCTCAATGACAAATAAGCACTATATATCTTTCCTTATTTATTATTTTAGTTTTAACTGTTTTAGTTTTGTAAAAATGTGGTGACTGAAAAGAAAATGGCTTTTTTCTCAACTTTCTTACTGTAACTCTCTATTTCTTCGGGTGTTAAGTGATGGATTACACAGGAAATAGTCTATCATTCTTTCTATAAAGATTCTGCAGTCAAAGAGAAACTATGAGCATATTTGGCCCACTACAATTTAATGATGCATTGACTACATCCCAGAATGCTCACCCATAAATTCCATAGTGCCAACAGGGGCTGCGGTGTCTCTTTGTTAGGTTATCGATAAAATGTCTTAAAGTGAAGTTTCCTTTACATTAAAAAGAAATTACTCAATTGGATACTTACATGTGTTAAAGACACCAGCAAAAACCCAGCATTGGCCATATCGGACTGGATTTTCAGAGCTCTGGTATTCCAATAGAATGTCAACGCTTCCAGTCCAGGCCGATGGGGGGACACCATAGGCATAGATATTGTCCCAGGATCCAACGAGGACACCTTCGTCATCTTTGGCATTCACCTAAATGAGTCCATGAGAAGTGAGAAGGAAGAAAGTTCATTTAGGTTTGTCTACTCCAGGCTATGCATGGCGCAAGCTATGGCTGCCATTGCCTTCTACATGTTGTGCCCAGTGAAAAGAGTACACTTCTGTTCAATTTACCATTACATTGTCAGAAAAAAAGGTGCAAAAACTAAATGTGCAAGAGGAGACCAAATAACCAAGATTGCCTGTTAAATAGCATACTATTATAGCAAGGCAAAGTTGAATGGCAGATAGGAGGAGTGTGACAGCTACCTGATTGGAAGAAGACATACACAGGACACTTGGTTTGGGCTAGAATAGTGCTCAAGAATGATGTGGGGAAGAGAGGAAGAAGACCTACAAAAGATAAAAGCTCTAGTAGGGATCTTGTCCACTTGGAAAGAGAATTCAAAACTCACAAATGAGAAATTAGTGGTTTAATGGATTTTGACTTTCATTTTGAGTAGTAGATTCTAATGAATTGAAAAAGTTAACAGATGTTGTCATGAAATCATTAAGAGTTAAGAAAATAGATTCCCATGGGATGCTTACAGAGGATTTTTTGTTTTTGTTTCTCCTTTCTCTTTCTCTTTTTCTTTTCTTTTCTTTTCTTTTCTTTTCTTTTCTTTTCTTTCTTTCTTTCTTTCTTTCTTTCTTTCTTTCTCTTTCTTTCTTTCTTTCTTTCTTTCTTTCTTCTTTCTTTCTTTCTTTCTTTCTTTCTTTCTTTCTTTCTTTCTTTCTTTCTTTCTTTCTTTCTTTCTTTCCTTTTTCTCCTTCCTTCCTTCCTTTCTTCCCTTTCTTTTTCATAAGGTCTCGATCTGTAACGCAGGCTGGAATGCAGTGGCACGATCATGGTTCACTGTAGACTCGAACTCTCAGGCTCAAGTGATCCTCCCACTTCAGTCACCTGAGTAGCTAGGACTACAAGTGCATGCTCGGCTAATTTAATTTTTTTTTTTTTTTGGTAGAGCCAGGGTCTCCCTATGCTGCCCAGGCTAGTCTTGAACTCCTGGGCTCAAGTGATTCTTCTGCCTCAGCCTCCCAAAGAGTTGGAATTACAGGCATGAGTCACCATGCCTGGCCCAGAGCTTCTTGTTTCCTTTGTAAAATTCACTTAAGTATTATTTTTATGATTGTTTAAACTGATTAAAGTTTTAGAGTTTTCTTAGAAGGTATTTCTATTTCCATAAAGAGCCTGGGATGTTATGGTTTAAATATGGAAGAGACTTTAGCAGAGAAAGGCAATCTTGAATATCTGGAAAAAACCTGCCACACCTTCAGACTACACTCATCTTGTAGCAGCAGACCTAAAGTGCAGGAGCAAAGACCTTTTGTGTTTAGATAATAAAACAAAGGCCAAGAGGTAACAGTTTCAAGGCATCTTGCCAGTTTTTTTCTGGGCACTGCTGAATCTACCTCTTTTGGTGTAATGTTGATCATGTTTAATTACAGTCAGAAGAGTCTAGGTAGGGAGACCAGGAGCTTTTCCAAAAACTGGTGCCATTTCAACAATGTTTACATTGACATTACAATAGTGTGGAGCCTTGCTGGTTGAGGCATTCACGAATCAGCAATATTGGCATTCCTTGGGAGCTTGCTAGAAATGCAGAATCTCAGGCCCCTCCCAGAACTCTTGAATAAGAATTTGCATTTTAACAAGATCACTGGGTGACTTGTGTGCACATTAGTTTAGAAGCGCAGGTCTGAGTTATAATGCAAAGACATTAGTAAGCAATGTGAAACACATGATTGAAGCATGTGTGTTTTGGTTATGAAAATCACAGAAGAGACATTAAAACATGGTGAGCTTTTTTGTGTTTGCCGCCTCACCAACTAACAACTCAGCCTCATCACCTGCCTAGACCCCTCTTTTTGACTTGGTGTGTCTAGTTGTAGAGAAGTCTGCCTTCCCCACTGGTTTATCAGTTCATCGGGAGCAAAGGAAAAAAATCTTCATCTTTCTGAATTTTACCAAGTGTTAGCAAAGACTGGGTGCTCAGCAGTTGTTCACCAATCACTTGTATAGTCAACAAGCATATAGGAAATGTACATTTGAGTAAGAATAAGACCTTCTGCCTGGAGAGAGATGGACAATAAACCAATCAAGTAGAAGTAAAGATTACTCATATTAAGACAGAAAAATGTAGAGGTAGAGTGGGAACCTGAGGAAGGGAGTTATCAGTTAGGTTGGAGGGTGGTGGTGGTGATGCTGGGGGCCTAACAGAGGGAGATGACATGCAAACTGGCCAGAAAAGGTCACGTATATAGCTGAAACAGTTTTAATAAATGCGTAGTGTCATGAAACAATATGGCAGGCTCTGGGACCTGCTAGGAGCTCTGCATGGGTATTATGTTAGTAGGCAATAATGAATGAAATAAAAAATACTAGAAGAAAACATTCAAGATGTGCAAGCATCTTGTACTGTGAATGACAAACCCTTCATTGAAATGTGAGATTTACTCTAGCACTGAGTGGCATTTCCCAAGGACGGTCCCTTCTGGGGAGTGTTGTCTAGAAGATCACTATTCAATTTGGTTTAGACATGCTATTTTCCCCCTTTAACTCTGTGTCCAGTCAGGTTAAAGTGAAGAAGAACTTTAGTAACCACACTGTTAATTTGTTCAATGTAGGAAAAAAATGAACTCTTTGGGGGTCTCTAAAAGACCTTGTTCAGCTAATTGCAAACTCACGCCTTTGATATAAATTTTGACTTTAGCTTATAGATTCATGAAATTACTAGGGTGCAGCAGGCTTTAGCCAAACATTCTGGCCATATTAAAGATCAGTACTTCTCCTTGCAGTTGGATTGATTATTTAAAAATCTGTATCCATTATCGTGAAGATTGAAGAATGTCTTGGTAGGCTATCACGTGGTTGGGTCTTTGTGGGTAGGTAGGTTTAGCTTTGAACTCACATTATCATTCCCTTATCACTGAGACATAAAATAGGCTCTATGAATTTCAGAGGTAAAGGCTCTTAAACTGTGGTCCTGATAACTGATTTTCAAACAGCCATTAATTACAAGGGCTATTTATAGCATAGGGCTGAACTCAATCAGCTAAGGGGAAGAGTAAGGAAAAAAGCTCTGTCCTCTACAGACCTTTTAATTGTTACTGCTGAGCTGTTCCCTGTTGCTAGATAAATCACTACTCTCATTTATTAGCATTTGGGCAGATTAGCTACTGTTTTCTAATTAGCACATTGATTTCTGGGGAGCTCAGGCCCTGAAAGAGGTAAGTTTTTGGTGACAGATGTAAAGGGTTAAAATAATATCTCCCTCCTAAACAACAAGATATGCTTGGAGGACACTTCGAGGACGTGTTTGTCCTTTATCATGCCACAGTTGGCTGTTTGAACACCCTCTCATGAACTCAGGGTTTGACCAGTGGCAGAATAAAGTGTCTTGGTCTTAGGTCACTAGTGGTCAAGTAGACAATACAAGTCCAGGACTATGTACAGGAGGCATTATTCAACTTCATTAAGGCTACACTAAATTGCCCTCCCATATTACCTACAAAATTGGAAAACTTTTCAAAAACCCCTAAAAGTCATTGTCAGCAACCTCAGTGGCATAATATAATGCAATACACTTCAAAACATGGTGCTAAGAAAAGATGAAGATCATAGAGTGAAGCAGAGAGACAACATGGCTCAGCTCCTATCCAAAAACCTGAGATTTCTAATTTATATTTCAAAATCTAGAAAGTAATACATATAATTAAAGTGCTGATCTTTTTGGCCAGGCATGTAATCCCAGCACTTTGAGAGGACAAGGCAGATGGATCACCTGAGGTCAGGAGTTCAAGACCAGCCTGGCCAACATAGTGAAACCCCATCTCTACAAAAAAGACAAAAACTAGCTGGGCATAGTGGCACATGCCTGTAGTCCCCGCTACTCTGGAGGCAGAGGCAGGAGAATCGCTTGAACCTGAAAGAAAGAGGTTGCAGTGAGCTGACTGCACCACTGCACTCCAGTCTAGGCAACAGAATGAGATCCTGTCTCAAAAAAAAAAAAAAAGAAAAGAAAAAGAAAAAGAAAAAAAAAAGCTGATCTTTTAATTGTTCTGAACAGAATGGTGGAAACATCTGCTGTGGAGAAACGAGTGAAAAAGGGTCTCCACCTTAAAAGGGGGTAGAGATTCTGGAACACAATTGGGAAATAATACAAGCTGAGAGTATCCCCCAATGGAACTGAGATATACCTCCAGTTAGGGGGGTGGGTTCTGGAATGACAGATGTAGGAGAATCTTAAGGGAAAGAGCAGACCCTAAGCATGCTATCAAAGATTGTTCACCTTCTTAAACTGTACTCCTCACTCCAATCTCTTGCAGAGTACTGAAGACTAGATAGAATGTGGTACATTGGCCTCAAATTGTAGTTCAGAGGCGATATCAAACTAATTTTAGATTGAGAAGAGAGAATTTCATTTATTACAGCAAATAGAACGTCTAGAGACAGGAGTGATGCAAGTTTGAACCGAAATGAAGGGAAAGGAAACTGCATGCAGAGGAAGAGACAGAAAGAGAGAGAGGGAGTTATCAAGAAAAAATATACATAGAAGAAAACAAAATTAAGGAGCATAAGTCATTTTCTCACAACCTTTTAGGAGATCACAGACCAAAGGCAACAAATTAAGGATCAAATCATACCATTACAGAACTAATAATAAATTATAAACTGCAAGAAACAGAATACATATTATTAAAAATAAAAATTAATGACATAGACGAAAACTTGAGATAATCAAAGAAAATACAATAAAAAACCAAAGTAATGAATTATTTAGAGAGATTCTAATAGTTCCATAGTTATGGAAAACAAAGATAATACAACATTAGGATAATTGGTGTCCTTAAAATAGAGAACCCAAGGATTTGGACCATCATGGTGGATGGGAGGCAGGACTAGATTGCACCTCCAGACAGAGCAGCATGTGGAGGCTTGCACTGTAAATTTCAGCTCCAGGTCAACTGCAAGAACAAACCAGCAATCCTGA